CGTCTATTCGTTCAAGCCAATCTGAATCTCGCGCTGTCCCGCGCACGACGAGAGCGACGAGACGGGAACGCAGAGGACTGCTGCGTACACACGCAAAAATAGATAGCGAGCGTAAGTGCGAAAAGCTCGCGTCGTTGCGTACGTATGGAGCATGCGCAGTGTGGAGCACGCAACGCTAACGCAAAGGCGCAATAATAAAACTCTCTAATATACATCCGCTGCGCTATACGTTCGTGTGTTTTATGATCCGGCCCGTGACATCGTAAGATCACGTGGGGAGTTAAGCTCCATCATGCGAGAGCCAGCTGCGCGCGCCGACGGTCGCCTGTTACCGCAGGTTCCCGTGGCACATACCCAACCGAGCTACTTGTGCTCCTGTTCAGCACGTCCTCGTAACTCCGTTAATTAAAAAAAAAAAAAAAAAAGTAGAAAATTTCGGCGCCGAGTGAAGGCGTCGGTACGGATCCCACGGTCAGGGGTTTGATTCCCGCTGGGCCGCTCGGTAAATCTTACTGATTACAAATAATTCGCTCGATTATGATTTGTAGACTTCTTTTGAATAAGCTCGGTTTCCGTATGGGTGTAAACATTGTCTTCTATAGCCTATCTATGATTTATGTTGCCTCGGTCTGTGTGTGGCGGTTTTTCGTTACGCTCTAGCTTAACGCTTTACACATAAAATCCACCCTATTGCAGCCAAGAGAAGAGGAACACGACGAGGGCAAAATCCCATCGGAGCCCTTGTCAGGAAGCGGAAGCTCGAGAGATACCTTCATGGGGGCGGTCAACAAGAACACACGTCTACACTCTAAAAAAAGTCGGTGAGTTTACTTTCCCGCACAACACTCGGAGAGCCAATCAGCGCAACTTACGGAGGCAGCTCAGCGAATGACGATGCCGAAACATATGTTTAGACCAAAAAACGCACTCTGAGTTCTGACATTAAGCAATGCAAGTGTGACGTTTTGCATTGCTTAATGTCACAACTCAGACTGCGTTTTTTGGTCTAAACATATGTTTCCGCATTGTCATTCGCTGAGCTGCCTCCGTGAGTTGCAGTGATTGGCTCTCCGACTGTTGTGCGGGCAAGTAGACGCGCAGACTTTTTTTAGAGTGCACATTAGCACGATTAAATTATTCATAAGCCATTTAGCACAATCTGTGTTCTCCATTGAGTTTCAAAAATGTTAATCCGAATCTATAAATGCATGCACATTTTTTTTTAATTACCACCCAAGTATTTTGGCTAGCAACATATGTGTGCACACAAACGGATGATTGTTTTGGGAAACATCACAATGCGCTTCTAGGAACGAGGTCATCATTTCCCGCGTTAGCTACGGATCCCCCAAAGTTAGTGATTTTTTTTTTTTGCGAGTATAATAATTTTTGTGATGGAACCTGCAGAAAATCTAGTGCCCCTCGTGTGATCTGTTGCGTCACTTTTGTGTAACGTAATGTTACAAACATATACTTAAAGCTACAGGTGCTTTACGCGTGTTAGTCATTGCGAAAGAGTCAATTTTGTTGGTTGCATAGTGTGGGCCTTCAATACGTTTTGAAATATTTTTAGATATTTAAATTATAATTAAAATAAAAGTACTTTATATTACCGACCTGGATCGCATCATCAGAAATATGAATAGCTCCCATCTAGAAAGCGGTCTGCGTGCTTTGGACAAGCGGAGCTTTTTACGGAGTCTTATTTGCTGATTACGAAAAGATCCGGTTGTTAGAAGGTTTAAGTTTGATTTTACTGCTAAATGCAGTCAATAAGGAACGAAAACCTGAGAGGCACGTTAGCTACAAATTGCACACCTACCGGCACTCGGTAAAAGGCAGCACGCGCTTTAAATATGCATAGAAGTGACGAATTTAGCCGTATTTTACAACCTCCACAGAACAAAGCACATGTAGTTTGCAACAACAGGAAAGAATGAACACAAACACATATCTGTGTTTCTCGTCTGTTGTGTATTTATTATTTCGTGTCGTTGCTGCCGTTACCAACGCGTTCGTTAAGCATTTAACCATATAGTTTGTTTTATAAACATCTCTAACCCTCTTCTATAAAATCGTTTTTAGTATATCATCAAAGTTTTCTAAAACAGCGGTGAGCGAAAAACAACAACAACAACTATTGTTGAGACTTTTCTGGCATAGGATGCATGTAGTACCGGACCATGCATCTATTCTAGATGGTATAAGATGTTGTTCAGGCACATGTTTATAAAATATAGTAAGTTAAAACCTACGGCAAGCCAACAGCATGATTTTTTTTCTTCTTAAAATGAGTGTTTCGTAAAGCAGCTTGTTTCAACGTTGTATTTAAATAATTATATGTATTTTTGCCACTCATAATCTGCTATTTTAGCTGTGCATTGCGTCACTTAAAAAAAAGAAAAAAACATAGTAGAGGTTAGAAAAAGAGGGTTCGTAAATCTTTCGGAAATCAACATGGACCATGTTTTTAGCAGCTATAAACGCCCAGATACAGCAGACGTGGTAGAAATGTCAACAAGAAATACATTATTTAAAGTTTTTTTTTTTTAACTGCGTCAGAACTGTTTATTTTTGGGTGTTGATCATGTGTTTTCTTGCTAATATCTTGGTAACAGTACTATACAAATACTCATATTTTCATAATACTATTTCTGCGAGAGAAACAAGGCGTTAAACCTCATCTATATTATTAAAATATCCCATAAGGTACAGTTAAAATATCTCATAAGGTACAGGCCTGTCAATTTCGTTGACAATCGCTCGATCTGCCAGATTTGGGAATTTTTATGATAATACATATGACGCCATTGTAATTAATAATGTTCGTAACGACATAATTAGACTAATACATTTTGTCGAAACGTATTGGACTTCTTTTAACAATACAACTTTAGTTATTTACTACTAAACATCACCACTCCGGCAACGCGTGTATAAACGCGATATGAGATTTTTCGTGTCCCGATCTTTTACTTTCTCTGGGTAAAAATATTTCTGGACTCGCTTAAACGTGCTGTATACCACAGATTAGTCCATATCTTAAAGAAATATCGTCGAGTGAAGTATAAACGCCGATCTGCCACCCTTCTTTCGTTGTTTTTTTTTTGCGTCGAGAACGTGAGAGAGGAGGAGGAGACGAGAGGGGGCGTCAAAACGTCGCGATTTCTGATTGGAAGGATTAGTGGGTAGACATAAGGATAGCCACCTTTGTCTCCACCGCACTCGTCGAACGCGTTCGAATGCGAGAGCCAAACGCCAGACGCCTGCGTTCCACATTCGAATGTGTTCGACGAGTGCAGTCAACAGAAATGCTGCCTTTGTCTCCGCTGTACTCTAGTAACGGGTTCGAATGCGAAAGCCAAACGCCTGACGCCGGCGTTTCGTATTCTAACGCATTCGACGAGTGCAGTGGAGACTTAAAGGCAGCTATAGCGTTGTGTCTCCCCACTAATCCTTCCAATCACAGCCCGGCGTTCTGCCGTTCCTTCTCGTGTCCTCCTCCCCCTCAGATTCTCGGCGCATTTACATCTAGCAGATTCTGAATTCGGTGTCGTAATCGCCCCGTGACTGAGAACAAAAACGAGAAAGCCGGCGGTTATTAGCAGGCGGTTCTCAAACGGTGGTTTTCATTAAAAAAAAAAAAAAAATACTACTACAACTACTTCTAATAATAATATGCAATATCTTTTTCATAGTTTGGAGTGAGAGAATTGTATCTTCGTAATTTATTTGACTATAAATGAGGAATTATTGCTAAAATAAGCTTACCTCTCGTTGTTGCTGTTGGTTAGCTTTGTGTTTGGGTGTGATGCGCGTTCAGCAGAACTCCGTTTCCGCCCCTAACACCTGTATAACACAGACTTTACTAGCACATTAAGAATAAAAATAATAATTAACGCACTGTCACTAAGTAGCACGGAAACAAACATATCGAGGTCGGGGATTGTTAGAACTCGATAAAAGCGGATGGAGTAAGGTTTTCCGATAGCCCCTTTAAAGGCCCGTGCGTCTGCTTTCCGGCACACCACTCGGAGAGTCAATCACCGCAGCTTACGGAGGCAGATCAGCGACTGACGATGCCGAAACATATGTTTAGACCAAAAAACGCCGTCTGAGCTGTGACATTCAGCAATGCAAGCGTGACGTTTTGCACTGCTTAATGTCACAACTCAAACTGCGTTTTTTTATGTAAACATATTCGCTGAGCTGCCTCCATAATGTGGTGATTGGCTCGCCGAGTGTTGTGCGAGAAAGTAGACGCACGGGCTTTTTTTTTTTTTTTTTTAGAGTGTATTATGGCCACCGAAAAGTAAAATAAAAAAAAGTTTCTTGTTTCGATATTTTTTTTTTTTTTTTTATCGGCTATTTCCTCAATCTTATTGGCGGCGGAGCGAGAATATGATGCTCGAGAAACGCTTCTGAAGCCGTCAGTTGCGACCATTTTGACGCCCATGTGAAACGCGGGGCGCGTGACCGAAGCCCAAACAACTCGCCAGTAAGCACTCCAAAAGGCCAGCCCGTGATTCCCACCCAGATCTTTCCCTGAGCGGCAGAAGCATAGGACGCAGTGTGCACGGCTCGCTCCCGGTTTCGGTCTCAGAGGGGGCTGGGGCTGGCGCCTACACGCGACCCGAGCTCTGTGCCCTGACGACGCGTCCCCTCCCCTTGCCATATGGTCCCGGTCCTCGACACTCGCGCCGACCACCTCGGCCAGAAGAACGTCGCAAGTAAGCCGTTCAGAGTGGTCAATCCGCGCAGTGCGGTAGCGTCTGTACGAAGTTCGACCCCGACCCAACAGCGAGGTGGAGGCTTGGGCGGACCAATCTGCACGGCACACGCTCGGAAAACGCGGTCACGTGGCACGAAGCCAATGGACGATTGCTCGGCGCAAAGCCGCGGCCTCCGTTCCGCTGTCGGGAAAAGCTGCGCCGGTGGCGGAAAGCGATTGCGGCCCTGGAGGCGGAAGGAAGCGCGCCTTGGAGAAGCGAGCCACTCACTTGCTTGGTGACGGAATCGATGAGCCGCACGTACAGGTCCTGCTCCTGACGGACACCTGCGAGCGAACAGACAGGCTCGGTTGGCTTCGTCGAGAGTCCTTCCTCTCGGCCCCGCATCGCCCCCAAAACCGCGCCGATCAACCGCCGCTCGAATCGGTGCCCTCGTGACGGCGCCTTTGTCGTGTCACAAGAACGGCGTTCTGAGAGACAAGGCTGTCTACGCGGACGGCCTGCGTCGGGGGCTGGCGGGGGCCGGGGGCCTGGACTCGCCTACCCTGCGCTCCCGTTTCGATGCGCGCTTGTTTGTTCCACACGGGGAAAACTGGGTTGCCAAGGCGCATCGAGCGGGCGGGAGAACCGTGGGGAAAAAAAGGGCCGCTTTTACGAGGGCGAGCCATCGGTGGAGACCCAATCGCGGCGGATTCGACGCAGGACCCATCTGGACCCGGAGTCCTCGAGGGCCCATTCCGGTAATCCCGAGGTTCAGCACCGGGACCCGCTCGTAAAAGGCGAGGGAAAACGTTCCCCGTGGAATTAGGTGTTGCCCGAAGCGAGGCTTTGTTGTCCGCGTGCCGGCACGCGAGTTTCTTCCAGTGCGCGCTTCACTTCGTCGACTCACCGTTGGCGTACAACAGCTGCAGCCGGTAGTGGATGCCGTTGTTGGTCTTTTGGCCGTCGGACTCCTGCAAAGACGTGCGAGACTGAAGCCTGCGTCCTGTCACGGGTCGGCCAAGTGCACCGCCGCTGGTGCATTGCATTCTACTCGCTGTACGTAGCGCGACACTGGTGGCGCGAACAAGCAATTACCGGTTTTTTCCTTTTTTTTTTCTCATAATTTAAAGGCTGTAATTAAATCTACTATTGTAATGGAAAGGGACGACGGCATGTTCGCCATAACAGTGTCACGCAGCGAAGGTATACTATTTTTTATATCTCTTGTATTGAGTCGTGCGCATTTTTACTAGATACACAGGCGCAAGATCACAACTTTGAGGAATGCTTTGTTTTCGCGGGTATTTCCGCGAGAAGAAAACTTTTCAAGCCATGCTCTCGTGGTCGTGGCTCTCACTGCGCACTGCACAGTACTCTTGACATAGAGTATTCATGATTCCGAGTCACGGCCCAGTGTGAGGAACCCCCAGCCTGCTAAGGCTTGAGCTCCCCGCTTTGGCAGGTTTATTTATTTATTTAATTAATCTAAAGGCCCACAGGGGGCATTACATTGAGGGGGTACATAGAATGTACCCCCTCTATGTACTATACAACGCACTATACACTTTCGAGGTCGTGCCTTGGAGTCTCCACTGCAGGAATAGGGTTAGATATCGAGAAGATCTCATCACAACGCTTGGTACATTTGAGCGTCACCGACTAGCGTTAAAAAATCCCCAAAGCAAATTAAGCGTTCATGTTTAGACCGTGTAATGTTGTTCTGCCTTTGAGGTATGAAGACACGGATGTACGCTGTAAATGGGAGCTTTAGCCAGTGCAATACGCCTACTAGCCTGGGGTGTTTAACATGCACCACATAGTATATATATAGCGATGCACGAACGAATACCGGTACAATGCTCATTCAGGTTGAGACGGGCAGGGCAGGGTGGGGCTAAACCAAGGATTCCTGGATTTTGCAGCGCGACTTTTCGCTCCACGCGCCGCGAGCTGCGGTGAACTAACGCACAGCGCAATCGATCTTCCCATCAAAAGTTCATGGATGTAGCAAGGGTATATACATTGCCAAAAATAGTTTGGATCGCCCAAGTGTTACTTTTGATAGCTATGCCGGATAACCGACACTCTCAGGCAGGCCTGTGTAGGCAGTGCCCCGCGATGCCTCGGACCGCTCCAATGATTTTACGTACAATCAAAGCGGCACAAGGGATGGACGTATTTCCTCAGCTGCAAGTAAATAACCATAAGAGCGTGATGCAGCTCGCCTCATGCATTGCGTGGCGTATACACTATACTGTAAGAGTTTAGAGTTTTATGTCAAACGCTTTTGTTCCTTGTAGCTCACTGACGTTACGGCAGCGCAAACAAAGTCGTCAAAATCGACTTTCGCCACATCCGTGAATGATGGAATTGATATGCCTGCTCGTGGACCCCGCCTGCGAGTTATCGCCCGTTCCGCACTTCTTGAACTTTTCCGTTTCCAGCAAAACTCCGACATTTGTGGAGCGCTGCATCGTTGCTGCCGACATCGTCGTCGGCACGAGGTTAATGGGCCATTTGCACCAATATACGTCCGAACATCAGGCGTGATTCCGAACGAAGTATCCGGCGCGAACCGGTCGTGCACGTGGAGGTTACAGCCCGCAGCGGTGCAGTGCAGGCTGAGCCCGTCGCGCGAGGCGGGCCTTTCGACGGCCAATTACTCCTCCCTTCTAATGGCGCCGTTGATGTTCGAAATGTCCGGGCGCCGAACTGCACGTCGAGGCAAAAGCCGCGCTGTGGGGCGCTGCGCACACCCCATCGTCAAAGACAGCCGTTGAAAAAGAGCCCGATTGACGGAAATGGCCCAACGCTTTAGGCGGCGGACACCGTATAGCTCACACGACAGTTTCGAATTTCATCGCTTGCTTTCGATCGAGTCGAGTCTCGCCACGCTGCCGCACATTCCAGAGTGCGTAATGCATCACGATTGCTTGATAATCGTACTTTATTTATTCAGTTAAACTATCGGTTTCATGCCATACAGTGGCAAAGGGGGGCACCTTTTTACACTTTGAACGACCATTAATGCGCGTTATCGTCCGCCTTTCTCATTAGATAAACTGAAGTAATAAAGACCGATTATTAGTGTTCTACGTCTGGACAGAGCACAAGGTGCTGATTGGCTTAGTGAATCCAGAATTCTAAAACAAGGCGAGCTTGCGTTAGGATTCTTTTATCCCTCTGGTTAAGCTGCTGGCCAGGGGGACACTAGAAAAGAAGCAAAAAGGGGAACTTCGTTGGTTAATTACCTAAAATTAACTTGCTTGCTTCCTATTTATCTTGCCGGCACGGTGCAGTTGGAGAGTTAACGTCCGACCTCATTCGGTGTAGGCGTGACGTGAAATTTTGGTTAAACATTTTTTAATGGACGCTACGGGGCGAGAAATGTCATCCATGTGCACGGCTTCAAACCGAAAGTAGCCCGACGAAGAGCGCTCATGACGTCAATTTCTCTGCCTTGTCCCGGCTTCGCAACACACCTGCCTGCGCCGCAGGTGAAGTGATCAGTGCGTTGCAAGCGCAGAGGGGAAAGATCAACGTCACGGGCGCTCTTCACCGGGTTAGCATCGGTTTGAGGCAACAGGCAAGCGTGACATAACTCGCCCCGTAGTGCCCCCCAAAAAATTTCTAATCAGATCGTCACGTCACGGTCAGACTAGAATGATGTCGAGAGTCCATACTCCAACTACGTTATGCCTAAAAAATGATAAATTTTAAACGTTAATTAAAACGTTTAGGAAGCAGCTAGTAAATTAACCAGTTTCTTTCCTTGTGGTCCCCAGCCCCAGCTTAGTCCCAGGGAAAAACAAAACAAAAACATGGCTAAGAAATTTTTTCCCCTCTTAGTTCTAAACCCAAAGTAAAAATAAGTCCAATACACGCAGGAGCTTTGCAGAGTTCACAAGCCGTCACAACTTGAGTACGAGAGGGTGTAGCTAAGTTTTAGAGCAATCGTTACCTCACGATTGACTTTTGAATGTTTTTATTCGGTGCTACACGGTCTCATAGGCTGCCGAATGATCATGAGACGAGCGACAGTCCTTACTGATAATAATACTTCCTTCGGAATGTACATGTTTGGCACTGAAGCACCAGTAATCCCCAGAAGACGCCGTCTGGGAAGGTTTCTGTATCAGCTGCCTCTACACTTTGCACAATGCGGGGTTTCCAGAACGCAGCCGTCAGTACAAGGTTTTCTTCACGTGAGCTACAAGCATCTGAGCAAATATGCACCCCAGACTAAACGTTCCATCAGAAGCCCGGCTAGGATACGCCCGCAAAACATGCCGGCATGCATGTCTCACGATCTACTCAAAACGCCAGTAGCTCCAATAGTCCTGCAGTTTGTGGCAAAGGTTGTTCACTCTCTTTGGCTACTCAATATGCACTCTACACTCTAAAAAAAGTCTGTGCGTCTACTTTCACTCACACCACTCAGAGAGCCAATCACCGCAACTTACGGGGGCAGCTCAGCGAATGACGATGCCGAAACATCTGTTTAGACCAAAAAATGCCGTCTGAGCTGTGACATTAAGCAATGCAAGCGTGATGTTTTGCATTGCTTAATGTCACAACTCAGACTGAGTTTTTTGGTCTAAACATATGTTTCCGCATCGTCATTCGCTGAGCTTCCTCCGTAAGTTGCGGTGATTGGCTCTCCGAGTGTTGTGCTTGAAAGTAGACTTACAGAAATTTTTAGAGTGTAAAAAAAGTCTGTGCGTCTACTTTCACGCACACCACTCGGAGAGCCAATCACCGCAACTTACGGGGGGCAGATCAGCGAATGACGATGCCGAAACATCTGTTTAGACCAAAAAATGCCGTCTGAGCTGTGACATTAAGCAATGCAAGCGTGATGTTTTGCATTGCTTAATGTCACAACTCAGACTGAGTTTTTTGGTCTAAACATATGTTTCCGCATCGTCATTCGCTGAGCTTCCTCCGTAAGTTGCGGTGATTGTCTCTCCGAGTGTTGTGCTTGAAAGTAGACTTACAGAAATTTTTAGAGTGTAAAAAAAGTCTGTGCGTCTACTTTCACGCACACCACTCGGAGAGCCAATCACCGCAACTTACGGAGGCAGATCAGCGAATGACGATGCGGAAACATATGTCTAGACCAAAAAACGCAGTCTGAGTTGTGACATTAAGCAATGCAAGCATGACGTTTGGCTTTGTTTAATTTCACAACTCAGACTGTGCTTTTTGATCTAAACATATGTTTCGGCAGTGTCATTCGCTGAGCTGCCTCCGTAAGTTGCGATGATTGGCTCTCCGAGTGTTGTGCGTGAAAGTAGACTTACCGACATTTTTAAGAGTGCATGCTGGGTCATTGAAACGCGATACCTATATTGCTCATTTTATGTTCTGAATGGCTTAAAAAACACAAATAATTGCAATCCAATTGCATCGCGAAGACTCTTGACAACTTTCTGTTGCAAAGCCGTCAAAGGCATAGAGCTCACTCATTCTGAACACCGCTTAAAAGTATGTCGGCGCACTCCTGTTGCCCTCTTCCGAAAGGACACAGAAGGTTATCCCTCGGTATTACCAGAGAATGAATGCTTGCTAAAATCATAAGCCCAGAGCCCGTCACAGAAGGGAAGGGGGTAAGGAGGTTCAAAATGTAGGTATAAATTAAAAGCTGCAGTTTGGTAATTCCCAAACTGCAGCTTGACACACAATAGTACTGAGACGTACACATTATGTGACGGACAAAACAGACACATATTATAAGGAACTACGACCTCCACCTTTTTTTCAACGGCCGCCTTATATATGTTTAAAAAATGCTCTCTCTCTCTCTCAGAAAAAAAAAAGGAAAAAAAAAGCGGAAGATTTGGGCGTTTTAGAGGCTGGTTCAGAAAGCTGCGTTGCTTGCGTTCAGAGCAACCGAAACGACAGCAACGACAAAGACACCGAGAGACGTGTTCGCCGCACACAACGTGCCAAACAATGTAAAACCTATCTTTGTTAAGAAATCACGAGTCGCGGTTGTCGCAGAGTACCGGTCGTTGCCGTCGTTTTGGTCGCCCTGCACGAAACTGGCGGAAATGGGTGAGTCAGCCTTTAATTTGTACGGCGTTAAATGGTAAGCCGGTTAACAGTTCACAAGGCTTTCTTTTTTTTTTAATTCTAAAATAGCGATTCAGTGGCCGAACTTCACAGCTCTTGGAGCGTATAAGCTCGCGCTGCGGACTCAGATATCGCCATTTTAGATCCTACTTCTTCGTGCTTCCGTTTGACGGGCGTTGCACCCGCTGTATACCCGCGCAACCCCTAGTGCCTACTGCATACTAAAAATACAAGGTCAACCGCCGTACTGCACTGGAAAATTGTACCTCCAGAGGGAGAACCTCAGGCGCCATCAGGTGGACTCCCCTGTTTAAGCCTGCCTTCCAGAAATGTCTGAATATCTGGAAAGTGCCTTTGACACTAAGTAAGTTTTTGAACTTGAGAATAAGATTCCAGCACAAGGCTTCTGCAGGCAGTGTGTAAGACTTTCGCACGCTACGGATTGCCGACTCTTGTAAAAAACGATTGAGTGACTCTGGATCGTCCTACCTGGTCCTTTTCGACAAAGCCAACAAAAGCGGTGCGCTCCACCTCGACGGGCTGGCCTGCCTTGTCGTACAGCGCGATCACGAAGTGGAAGAAGTTGCTCTTGCGCAGGTTGGACGGTGGCTGCTTCTCGAAGTGGGCACGGCCCAGGCCCACGCTGCAAAGCCGGACACGAAAGAAACATGGAATCGTCGGGATTTCAGCAATGCGACAACACTCCCAGATAATTCTTTATATAGACTGCCTCCAAAAACTCTCGAAACACAAACAATTGATCTAAGAAAAGACACTGGTGCTTTTTGTCATTACCTAGGCTGCTTAGTGAACACAGCAGAATTGCAACGCCGGCCCGCAGATTTCACTCTAAGAAATGCCTGCGCGTCTACTTACCCGCAAAAACCTAAAAAATCCAATCACTGCGATCTAGGAAATCAGCTCAGCGAATGACGAAGCGGAACATCCGTTTAAATCTAAAAATGAAGTCTGCGCTGTGCCTTTACGCAATACAAAGCCTCATGCTTGCATTGCCTAATGCCACAGCGCAGATTTATTTTTGAGGCCTAAACAGATCTTCCCCCACATTCGCTGAGCTGATTTCGTAGATCGCCAGAGATTGGCTCTTCGAGTGTCTTGCGGGTAAGTAGACGCGCAGGCATTTCTTAGAGTGAACATACACTCTAAAAAAAGCCCGTGCGTCTACTTACTGTTCCGCACAACTCTCGGAGAGCCAATCACCGCAACTTACGGAGGCATCTCAGCAAATGACGATGCCAAAACATATGTTTAGGCCAAAGGACGCAGTCCGACTTGTGACATTAAGCAGTGCAAGCGGTACGATCTGTATTGCTCAATATCACAAGTCAAACTGCGTTTTTTTGCTCTAAACATATGTTTCGGCATCGTCATTCGCTGAGCTGCCTCCGTAAGTTGCGGTGATTGACTCTCCGAGTGTTGTGCGGAACAGTAAGTAGACGCACGGGCTTTTATTTTTTTATTTTTAGAGTGTTTAGTGAATAAAATAATTTATGCTTCCGGCCACATGCAATTGGTTTTCACACTCGGGGCCAATATACCACTGCCTTTGGCACGACAGTATGGGAAAGGGGCGATTGTTTTTTATGAACCGTCTAAGGCAAAGAAACATGCCGGAAGAGGCAGCAGCCAGAGTGCACAAATTTCGCGGGTCCTTTCCATGGTTGTCATCACCACCGCAATGCAGCGAAGAATTTCAATTTTCCATTCTATGCCCCGGCATCCTCGTTAAACTGCACCGTGCGCCTTCCCGGGAGGTGCCCGCGAAGCGCCGCGCTCTGCTCAGTAGCCCCGGTCGCCCCATAAAATTCAAATGGTTATATGCGACTGAATTTTAATAAAAATAAAAGCGATAAGGAGAAAAGCAAACAGGCGCGGGGGAAAGAAGCGCGCGCGGGCCCTTTCCCGTCCGCCACTGCCCCCCGTCTCCCCTTGGAGTTCTTGAGCTGTCCGAAATGTATCCACCCCGGTTTTACATCCTGCCCTGTGTGCGTTTGTTTTCTTAAATATTTGCTAGGTTGCGGGGAAGGAGGGAGTGCTCGTATGAATATATGGCTTCGAGAGCACGCGACACGAAGAGAAAAATAATTCTAAAGAGAGACAAAGCCGCTCAGCCCCACTTTCCAGCTTCGTTTTCTATCCACCGTTTTGTTCTTTTGTCTTTTTTAAATTGTTCGAGGATTGTTCACCCGTTATTATTCTTCTACCATATCCTCTTCTGACAGACCCTTGTCGAGTTTCGCTTCCCGTGCCTTTTGCTGTTTTGTCGCAGATTCAAAAGATGGCGGAATACTTCGAGAGTTGTCTTCAACCGCGGACACACACGTACAAAAGAGCAAGCCTATTTCAATAGAACAAAAAAGGCGAAGCAAACTATTGAGATAAGAAGAACACGTTAGTGGTGACAACTTTACTTGTAGCGGGTTACGTAGTCATTTTTTTAACCTGGAACTACGGACGGATGGTGGAATTGACAATAGGTCGATTTATTCGCTTAGCTCGAGAGAAGGAAAACAAGCGAATCAAATGCCCTATTGTAAGCTCCTCTGTTCATCATTACTCCAAAGTTCAAAGATGCATACGTAACGCGGTACATGTAACATGGTTGCTTGTAACGTGTTCTTCGCAAGCGAAGTAACCACTTGGTTCCTCCTGCGGGGTAGAGTAAATGAAGTACGGAGGAATCCTATATATTACAATGTAGTCAATTAAATAGGAAGCTTAAATCAGTTACTTCAATGTTTCTAACGGAGGCGCTTATTGATGAACGTGCATATGTTTTCATTTGCAACGTGGGAGATTACAGTTGTGAGGAGATATAAGGAAGTATTATTATTGGCTCGGAGAATGTATTGATTTTGATAATTTGGGCTGCTCTTTGTATTTTAGTTAGTGTAATCCTAGTTTTTAAAACATTAACACGTGCAATCTATCACTTTAATATATTTAATAGAAAATCAAAGCTTCTTCGGACAAGGCAGCCGATTTTCGCAATATATTAACGCAAGGCATTCTCAGACGTTTGGCACTTTCTGAGGCAGATGAAGCATGGCGGTACTGAGGTAAGCATTTTCATGAAGTGTTCAACATTGTTTTCAATGGCTGTGCGCAAAAAAAAAAAAAATAAAAATAGTGAATTAACATAGATTATTAATTTTGCTCGCTAAAGGTGGGCGCACTGGGCCGTGTTTCGAATATATCTGTAACTGCATCCCGTATACAAAGTAAAAAAAAAAAAAAAAAAAAAAAAAAAAAAGAAAAAAACAGCAGGAAAATAGGGTTCTGTTAATTTCTTTTTTTTTTTATGTAGCGAGACACTTTATTATAGACCCTCTTTTAGCTCTCGTGCTGCTTATATTGACCCAAATAGTAATTTCAATATTTAAAAAATAGAATAAAAAATGTCCGAGGTGCAGGCGGTGTAGGGGAGGGCGTTGGGGGGCTTCTTTCTTGACTTTCTAGTTCTCTCGTCGCTTATTTCAAGGGGAACACTGCAAATGTATTTGATGCGTATTTATTTGTCAGAGATGCGTTTTTGTAACGCTGTAATAGAAGAGAGGCGAACTCAGACGCAGTAGTTGTGTCCTATCAGTGTATGGTTCGCGATGAATTTCTTTAGTTCAGGCCAGAAATTCAGCACTATGGCTTTGTTATCTATGAACTGTTGTCCAAAGTGCGTAGATGTTTTGCCATCTTGAAATTCGGACCGCTTTTATCGTCGAGCAACTTTTGAGTCACCTTTTGGTGTTCAAACTTATAACAAATATCCGCTCAGGCACTGACGCACAAGCCCGACCGCAAACCCACCGATGGCGCGAGGTGGATTCGGCTGCAGCGCTTCGACCTCACGCTTAAACGGACAGGCTTCACAGAAGCCTACTGATAGCGTCGCGTGTGACGCTGTAGACATGCCGTCGTTTGCACACCTCGCATGCGCGGAGACACAAAGTCAACTTGTCATGTTTTCGCGCACCCCGTCGCGTGCGGCGCACAAAGCGCTTAGTGCGCCCTGAGTCGCTGCGCGCGACGCTGCGCGAGCCTCCGGGACATAGCCAGCTGCAACAGGGCGGATCCCAAAGCGGGGAGTGTGGCGCGCCTTCGCTTCGCGATTGGTGACCACCTCTCGAGTGGGCGCAACGTCCGTCCGAGCGACACCCTGAAGGGTCCGAAGGCTCTCAAGGGACCTTACGGTGCGGGAACTATCGCTGCCGACATCCCCGTCAGTAGACATTTCTCAAAAATGCGTGTCATCTAGTAGCAGCTAAGCTGAGTCCACTATTGCCTGGGTACGAATACTGAGCATGTATTGGATACGAAGGCGGCATCATCAGCGTTCGGCGACTACTCGTACCCAATGATACGCTTCGTGCACCACAAACGGCGACCACCAACCTTGCTTGATGAGAATTTGAAAAGGGTTTATTCCATAGCTGGCCCCACTTGTCTTTGAACAACGTTCAAGCTGCTCAAACAAAGTTCATCATAGCCTTTGCACTGACTAAAATTTTCATTGATAGTAACAAACAAACCTTTCTTGCTCGAGCGCTCAAGTGCCTTGGATTTCGTTTATCAAACGTGTCGTGAAGAGCATTTCTTGGCTTCCGCGTCATGCGACTCTATTATAAGCCCCTCGCCAACAAGTTCACAAATTAGGCCGCATTTTCTTTACGTGTTGCTTATGCAAGAGGCTGAAACACGATAGTTATAAATGTCTGCATTAAAGGGGTACAGAATCGAAGACCCCCGAAACACTTTGAAACGGGTGAAGTATGATCCATATTATGCGTAAGTGATAGTTACACGCTTGTATTTTCAGCAGATGGCTATACTTTTCGTTTCAGCCGACGGTTTCTGGCGAGCACTTCAAAATCAGCCATCGGAGCGGCACGATGCGTCTCGGGATATTTGCCCGTGACGTCGCGCTCGCAACGTCACGGATTACGATCATCGTCACTTCGCGGCGCCAGCTTTACCGTCAACGCAATGCGTTAACACGTTACAATCCCGCGTAGTGGGGAATACCCGATGTATGGTGTACTAGAACTGAGAGGTTTGCCCTGCGCCGATCGCTCCCGGGCGCCTCCATCGGACACTACAGAGCCGTGGCGCTGCTATTAAAGGGTCCGTGACGTCAGACATTCCAACGAAGCTCGACCCCCCCCCCCTCCCCCCCCCCCAACTACCAGGTGGTATTGGAAAATCGCTTTATTCGTATTAACATTGCTTTTCTTGCGTTTACGGACAAAAGACTGGTGTTTGTGAGCTGCTGTAAAAAATGAGACCACGCCTACACAAAGAACAATCGGGCCTAAAATTTCGCTTGTACCACTTTCATTAAGCAAGCTAAGGCGAGAAGAAAAAAAAAAAGTCAGTCAATATGTTTGACATATTATACATTGCGAAAACGAAGCTTCTTGGCGCCACCATTATGTGATAGTGCAGATCGTACACTGAAACTTGAGCTTGAACGTCCTTTATATCGGTTTATATTGGACCATATAATTATATTTAAAACCAATATAATTTTTCTTTGGCCCTCGCGCCTGCACGCAAATGCACTGAGGTTTTCAAGGCCACCGTTGGTTCGTTTCAATGGCAAACTGGGTGGAAAAGTAGGTCTCACCTGAAGAGCATCCTCTGGCTGGGTACCAAATACTCCGAGCATACGGCCTCCATGTTCCTGTAAACAGACAAAAGAAAACAAATTATACGAGCAATTCATAACTCCACAGTAGGCGACGCCACACTGATGAGAAGACGTGACGGAGGGAAGCAGAGAGCTACCGCCCATTCAAGTCTGCGTATCAGTACGAACCAACGCATAGCTTGGCGGGCGGATGACGTCACGACTTCTTATTGCATCCAATGGATAGCATAGCGGGCACAATGAACCTCCTCCCCTCGCGACGATGTCTCACGTTACGAGGTATCACCACCAAGCAAGCTGGTGTTGGTAGTACCTCGTAAGCGGCTCCTCTCATTCAAAGAACACGGAGAACCCATGGAAACTTCTCATTATAAAGCATACTCCTCCTCGCCCTCTCCACCCCTGTATACGTTTCAATTTAATAATAATAATAGCTTTATTTCCCATCAAAGCGATAGGGGAGGTTGGGGGAAAAAAGCTGAAAAATCAGCTTGATAAACCCGTTGAACACAAGGGCGTGTCGTGCATGCATCACATACAAAACACACCCAAAGCTCGCCGTAACCAAGCATAACAAATCATACCGCCCTTATAATGGACGCACAATACATTCTGTGCTCCTCGGTTTTATCAGAATGTTCGAGACTAATTTCTTTTCTTTGTTTTCTCATTTGGAATGTGAGCTAATTTTTATCGCTAAGTAATAAGTGAGAATTTAGTCGAACTTCGTTCGAAACTACAAATCGAATGATGCTGAATGACGTTCATCTTCTCAGCCTAACATGGACTAACCACAAGGGCTACAAGCGCGAGATTCCCGCGTTTGATCGCGCCTCAGCTGCAAGAGCACTCGTGCAGCGTAAGCATCATATATATATATATATATACTTTGTATTTTTCACCGCAATATTAAACTACGCATTGTCGAACGCTCATTCTCCGCTCAAATGTAGCGCTGCTGTCCAAACCAGATGCCAAAGTTTCAGAGTTAACCGTAATCTCGAGTCAAAAGTTATAGGCCTCTGAAACTTTAAATGGGAAAATAAGGACCCGTTATAGCCGGTTGTCGGTAACGTGCGTCATTCAGCTCCATCTGTTATAAGAGGTCCACCGGCCGACATTTTCCCATAAACAATTAAACAAAATCGGTAATAACTTTTGAATAAGATAACGGTTAGTTGTGAAACTTTGGCATCTGGTTCGCAGCGCTAGGGCTACCTTTGGGCTAAAAATGGGCGTTCGGTAACTCGCATTTAATTTTTTTCGGCTAAAAAAAAACAAACGAAAAAACTGTAAACATTTTTTGGGGACATCCTGTATAGTTCGTTTACCCTTCAGTTGAGACTAGAGGCTCCGCCTTCGACGCCAGCTTTCTGCCCTTGCTAATACTAGTGTGAGCGTGCAGACACGCGCAACCAAACTACTGCGGAACCCAGCGAGCTCCCGTTGAAGGTGGAGCTTCTGGTGTCAGCTTAACGGTGAACGGAGTTTTTGCAGTTAGTCCATGTTAACGTAAGATGACATAGAGACTAAAGGGGTATTCACACGAGGGAGAAATCCCGGGAATTTCTCCACGACACGCGCATCCCGCGACGAAAAAGTCAGGCTTTGCTATGTGCAAAAAGTCTCGCGTTTTCGTCTCGGGATGCGCGCGTGCCGGTGAGAAATTCCCAGGATTTCTCCCTCGTGTGAATACCTCTTAAGAATGAAGTAGATGCTCCTTCTCTAGCACGAGGTTTCTCCCTTTGATAACACTTCGTCGCACGTGCAGCGGAAGCCCCCAAAAAGGCAACGAGCGCGTGCAAGAGGCAGAGCTTCTACTGCATTCTTAGCCTGGCACCGATTATTGGGTAATGATGTTGCTTGCAGTACCAGATGCAGATATCACGCGATCACGAAAAAATATATATGGAAACTGTGCCAAGCTCCCCGTATGGTAGCCATTTCGGTTCAGGAAATGAGCAATTTCTCCTTGACCTTTCCATTCTCGGTGAGCCAACCCGAATTCGCTGGTGACGGGTAGCTTTATAGAGACGATTCTTATGTACGGAGATTTTGCTATCATCCCACCGGCGAAACAAGCGTACATCTTCGTACCACCGCCAGATGCGGCATCGGTGCTTGGAGGCATTGAAAAATAATTTTCTTGAATCCGAGATTCGTGGAGATGGGCATAATTGATAAGTTGATTGCATACGCAGTGCCAGAGACGCTTATATTGGCGAGGAACGCCTTCAGTGCGATGATGCTCCATGGTGATCTTGGGACGGCTGCTTTAGAACGGCCCTCTCGAAGCTTCGAAAATTTGAAGTGACCAAAATGGCGATTGCCAGGGCAACTCAGGCAATCTCCTTGCGAGGTTTTGGTCGTCTGCATTTTAGTATTCGTTTGTGTCCGGCTAGCAAGCAGGGAAGGCGATGGCGCTACTTTCCCAGGATCCAGTGACTTTAGAAACTGCGGGGTTCAAGCAGTGTCGGCGGTAACGAGTTGCAAGTAACGGCGTTACCAGTAGCGCGTAACTTTTTTGTAACGTGGTAACGTAATCATTACGTTTCCAAAATACTAACGGGTAAAGTGCTTGCGTTACTCATTTCAAGTAACGGGTAACGTAGTTACGTTGCTCGCTACATTTTCTTCCCAGGACCCGAAAAAAGTACACTTCAATTTTTTTCCTGTTTCTATACTTCGGTTCCCTTTAAGTCCACACGCAGCCGACGCTACGAAATTATGGGACCGGTCCAACAGCGTCAAAACCGCAGCATTATGGTGTTCGTCATGTTTCTCTACGTGTTCTATCATCGACTGGACTAATCATAAACAGAAAAGTGTCCAGTGAGTTACGCTTTTGACGCTGCCCGATTGGTCCCATTTATTCGTAGCGTCGGCTGCGTCTGGACTTAGGCTAAAGCAAAGCATAGGCGCCGAGTTATTAATTAATAATTATTGCCATCATTTCACGTACCTTCAAAATTTTGCCTGACTTTTCCCCACGCACAAAAGTTACACTTTAGAAGTACTCCAACGCCCACGCCCGTTGTCCCAATGTAGAAACAAACAAATGCTGTCGCAAAAAAAAGAAGGAAAAAAAAAAGAAGAAAACTCTGTCATTGTCAATTTATAAATAAAAAGTAACGCGAAAGTAACGTGCGTTACTTTTTATCGCTAATGGTACCGGTTACGCGTTCCTTTTGTTTTAAGAGTAACGAGTAACATATTTCGTCATATATATATATATTTTTTCTTTTATAACACCTACAACACCGGTTACAAAGCAGTGGCCAAGCACCTACAAAAGCTCAGACCTCGATCCGGGAGACGCTGTGTCACGTGCTCCAGAAAAAGAAAAAGAGACAGCCGCATGAACGTCGAGAAATCCCTGTGTTGGCGTCCTAATCTTGCACTTAAAAGGCTGTGATCGAGTCATGGCTCGCCAGTATTAAGCTCTATAATTTTAAAGTTTTTCTTTCTTTTTTTTTTTTGTAGAAGACGACGACACACCTTGGCGGTTGATAACAATTGCACGAGTCGCGAAATGCGAGAAATGGCTTGCACCATTGAGATGTTAAAGGCGACGGTGCTCGCCGCAACGAACGGACGACTCGGACTCGAACCTTTTTATTACAAACCGTATATCAGCTTAGTGGGACCGACCTTTTGTTGAGTAGCGGCGATTCATTTATGCGCAGAAAGCGAGCAAATAAAAGAAGGAATATTGAATTCCAAAGCCTCTTCACATTCATTCGCAAATGTCCGCGAACGCTTGGGATTTTTTGAACTTGTGTTTCTTTTTATTCTCCTTTTTAATACCTCTCAACACTTTCTTATTTCTTTTTTCCCCTCCGCTCGCTTAGCGTGGAAAATGAGGGAGTCTCAATAACAGGGGGCTGAAAAACGAGAGAGCGACGATTTTTTTTTTTTTTGATGTTCAGACCTTTTCGAGGTCTCTTTAAAATCTTTTCACAGCTTTTAAAATAGAGGGCCATTGCCAAACATGTTAAAAAAAAAAGAGTTATTCCGTTGCAGAAGCGTGCTTGCCAAGCAGTGGGACGCTGGAAGCCCGGAGCTCGCTTTTGCAGTTTCTGCTACGCTTACACCTTAAGTTGGAATGTTGCTTATTTTACAGAAGTTACCCAAATAGACCGATCTCATGAAGCGTTCGGCGCATGCGCGAAGTCGCCATACTTTCATTTCACAGGAGGCAAGCGGCAGTGCCCGAGACGGCTCGTGCTGTCTCGTGCACTTCATGCGGTGAGGCTGTTCCACATGCAGAAAGACTAAAACTTCCCTCGATGTATTACGGCAGTGGTGGAGTAGCCAAACTGACTGGTCCGTCCGTCAACACTTCACGCTTATCAAGCATGCAAAGGTCATCGGTTTTTGTTCACACGCTTGGGTTTTCGCAAATATTACTTCTATGTTGCTTCCAACTTAATTGGTTTCTCCTCAACTAAAGATTGTTTCCCTGGCGGGATGGTTAGGCCGTTTATTGCAATACACAAAAGAAGCATTTACTTTTGGAGACAAATTATCTGTTTCCTCTAGCGTATCGGAGGGAGGCAAAGCAAAATTAAACCGTTATATACGAAGCATGTCTGCGTGCCTCGATAGACCCTTTTCAAAAGAGCGCGCTATCTAGTAGCCGCTGCGTTCATTATTCGAGTTCGCCCTTGTTCGGCCACGTCCTTTGAGCGTGCATTGGACACGAGGGCTCCATCAACCTTCGGCGTGAACTCGGCTCAGTTCGGATTGAGGGCGAGTGCTGTGTCAGCGTTCGGGGAGGACTCGGACCCAATCGCGCGTTTCGTGCCCAAGAAATGGCGACCGCCAAGATTGCTTGACGGGGTTCTGAAGATTGACTATTTTCGCAGTGCGCGTTGAGGGTCATTGTTGTCGTTTGCGAAGGGAGAGAGCAGCGATCGACGATGCACCGTTGAGGTTCGAACTCGGAAGCGCAATGTGCGCTCAGCAATTTTGTGCACTTGAACGGCACGCTCACTGTCTCTGAGCACGCGGCGTTTGTGAGTCCAGGGCCG